TATTTTAGCCAAGAGAACTCTAGTAGCCTAGTATTAAGAAGCTTCACAGCTCTACCAGATGCTCAGCTGGAGGAGGAGGGACAATCTCCTCCTGTACCAGTCAGATCCAATTTGATGGTACACACACAAAATATAGTAAAATTAAAAAAAAAAGCTTCACTGCATTCCCAAAGGCATATGGTTCCAATCCACCAGTTGCTCCACAGAAAAAGGGTGGACAGTCTCCTCCTACATGATTCACTGCCTCTGAAAACCCACTGGAGGATCAGCTATGAGTTGATTCTGACTTGATAGCATGAAAAACAACAATTGTTTAGCTGAAAGTTTAACTTTGAGGTTGAGTTCAGATCCGTATTTGAAGGGTAACTAGGGTTCATAGTCTACGGGGTTTCAGCAATTTCTATCTGAAGTCCTGGTCTTTTAAAAAAATTACTATTGGAGTTCCAGTTTACAAAGCAGGTTGATAATCCCGCTTAATTATTCATGAGTATTTTGTTTGGGGCTTTTTTTTTTTTTTAATAACTAGCTTATTTAATTTATTTTTTAAATTGTGATTTTAGTGAAAGTTTATAGATGGGATGTGTTCATTCTTTGGCACACATTTTCTTCCCCCCAATATGCTCTATAAATGAATGTCTTGTTCCAGATTGTTAATTGTTATACATATGTCTAATCATCTATTCCTTTGTAGTGTTCATTCTCTATCCACTCATTTTGTGCTCTTCTCCCCAATGCAAAATCATTCTTTATTCATTGCTTATCAGCAGAATAGTCAATGCTTTCATGTTCTCAAATTTAAGCTGCTTTTCTCTTTTTCTTGTTGCTTGTGAGATGGAACTGACTCATAACTGGCATACCAGTGGTTTTCAGAGGCTGTAAAATGCACAGGAGCAGGTTGTCCATCTTTTTTTCTTATATCTGCTGGTGGATTTGAACCACAGGTGAGGTATCACTTTTGGGTTAGCAGTGCAATTCCCTATAGAGAACACTGCTGAGCTCCCTGTAAACAGTTTACAGGCAGGGATTTACCTTTTGTTGTTATTGTTAGGTGCTGTTAAGTCAAGTACGACTCATAGCAACCCTGTGAACAAAAGATCTGAACTCTTTCCTATCCTGTGCCATCTTCAACTTCCTGACCGGCGGCAGTCCCTGTGTCAGTCAGCCTGGTCGAGGGTCTTTCTCTTCTTCATGGACCCTCCACCCTTCAAGCAGCATGTCCCTCTCCAAGGAATAGACTCTCCTTGCAACATGCCCAAAGTATATGAGGCAAAGCTTTATCATTTTCACCTCCAAAGAGCATTCTGGCAGTACCCTCTCTAAGACATACTTGTTTATTCTTCCGGCCATTTATGGGATGTTCAGTGCTCTTCTCCAACACCAAAGCTTAAAGGCATCAATTCTTCTGTCATCCTTATTCATTGCCCAACTCTCAGATGTATAGCAAGTGATCCAAAAGACCATGGCATGAATCAGATGCACCTTATTCCTCGAACTGACATCATTACTCCCCAATAATTTGGAGAGGTCCCTAACTGCATATTTTCCAAGTGCAGTGTATCTCCTTATTTCCTGACTGCTGATTTGCCTTCTAGAACTTTGGAAAGTTTACTCTCTAGTGCCTACAAACATGATATTTAATAAAGGCATGTAATAGCAAGATCAGAACAATTTAGAGATGTTTCCGGCTTACTCATTTAACAAATATTTCTTCAGCTACCTTGTGAGTTACAAGCTTTTAAAGTATAGGGTGGGGTGCTTGGTGGCAGAAATAGTTAAGCACTCAGCTACTAATTAAAGGGCCTGGAAGTCTGCTTCTGAAAAGCCAGCCACTGAAGGTCTAGTTCTACTCAGACACATGGTTCTAGGAGTTGGAATTGACTGGGCAGCAGCTGTATGCCCGGGTGCTTGTGGTTGAGTGGTAGACTTCTTGGCTTCCATGTTGGCTTCCTTTTTTCCTTGTTCTGTTTTGTTTGTTTTTAATTTCTAGCTAGTGTAACTCATGCTCAGCCATCACCCATCTGTCAGTGGAGGTTTGTGGGTTGCTGTGGTGCCGAACAAATTTCAGCAGCCCTTATAGACTAGGGAAACAAAGGCAAGCTAGTAGGAAAGGTCTGGTGATTGACTGGTAAATCACCCAGTGAAAAATCCTATGGCTCATAATATCTCAGGGTGTGATCTTTAGCTAATCTCAGGGGATGGCACAGGAGCACACAGCAGCTTATTCCTTTGAGTGGGGGACGGAGGGGGCACTGGCAATATCTAACAACAACAACAAAGAGGAGAGAATTCTTTCCCTTCAGGACCTGTATTCTGGACTTAGGAATATTAGTTTAACCAGTGTCATTCTCACGCATATAGTCAGCTTGAAGAAAGCTCTGGTGGCCTAATGGCAAGAAGCTGTGCTGCATTCTCAAAGGCATGTGCTTGGAGCTCACCAGCTGCTCCACAGAAGGGTGGACAATCTCCTCCTGTGTGATTAACTGCCTCTGAAAATCCATCATAGGACCACCTATGGGTTGGTTCCAACTCTTGGGTACCCAGTAACAACAATAACAGCTTGAAGCCCTCAGTAGGGCTTTTGGGAGAGTTTAGACAAGAGAGAAATTCATGTTGATTATTGACCTGTAACTTCCCTGGTTGTACTTAAAACTTAAATCATAAAACTGTGGAGTATTAGAACTGGGGAGATAAAAACAAAACAGTCATTTAGTCATTTAGTACAGTCTCTTATCCTCTACCCTCTAGAAGAATCAGCACACTAACTGTTAACAGAGATGACAGTGGCACAGGATAGGGCAGAGTTCAGATCCAATGGTTATAGGGTCGCTGGGAGTAATTTTGATTCATGGGTATCTAACAGCAATCTTCTAGATCACAAATTCTTTGGATATTTATAACAGATACTCCTTGAGCCCCTTTATCACTTAATGATAATATACCAGTTTTAGAAATAATATATGCATTATTTATATACAATTCTGGCAGGTTTGCTCCGCCGAGGGCTGCTATGACCTGGTTGCCAGAGAGAGCATGGTGCTGTGTGTGCAGGTGTTGTGGCAGTCTTTGTACGTGAAGGACTTCTCTGCCTCCAGGAGCCAGGCAAGCCAGGCTTATAAGGTTTAGGGCAGCAGGGGCTAGTCTTTCATTGTTTTTGTTCAAACATTCCTCTAGGTCTTATAGCCCTGGTGTACAAGTTGCCGGTCCACAGTCACTTGTGGTTGCTGTGAGGCTGAACACTGTGACACTGATGTGTCAAATGCGTTAATGGTTGGCTACCTAATGCGTATAGAGAGTGGGGTGGAGCTCCCCGATTAAAACCAGCTTGGAAGGAGGAGTGGCATCCACTTCCATAATGCCTTGCCTCCAAAACCCTCTGAACCTGGAGAGAGGATGAAAGGCAGCCAAGCATCGAGGACTCGCCTTCATAGGGTTGCTATGAGTCGCCTGCGACTCTACGGCACTTAACAAAACAACAACATAAAATTCTGATAATTCCCCCCTGCTGTGTTCTTAAACTGGTTTCCTAAGTTTTGCCCAGTTGTTGTTATGTGTCACCACGTTGCCTGTGACTCATAGCGACCCTACATACAACAGCCCGAAACCCTGCTCTATCCCTTGCCAATCTTATTGTCTCTGACACACCTTGTCCCCATTACCCCAGTCGTTGAATCAGTCCATCTCATCGAGGATCTTCCTCTCCTACACTGTTCCTTTACCCTCCCAAGCATGATATCCCTCTCCAAAGTATGTCATTCGAAGCTTCAGAATCCTTGCCTCCGAGGAGCAGCTTGGTTTCACCCTCTCTAGGGTGAACTTGTTTTGCCCAGTAGTCCTGAGTTTTTTTAGAGCAAGTGCTACCACACATGTAGTTTTAGCTTTTCCAATTCTGGTCTCCTAGTGGTAAGTAAGGGTTAGTACTGCCAACACAAGGTATGTATTTCAAATTCACTAGTTGCTTTGCCCAAGAAATGTGGGCAGTCTCCTTCTGTGTGACTGTCTCTGAAAACCTACTGTATGGTCAGCTGTGAGTGGTCCTAACTTGATGTTACACACAACAATATCAATATTAAGGTCCATATTAAAAATAAAACCAGGAAATGTATTTAGTTCAGTGTAAGGATGGGCAGTCTCCTCTCAGGCAATTTGAAAACCTGGTGGAGGGACAGGTATGGGTTGGTTCCAACTCTACAGCAAACAACAACAACATGTCCAAAATAACATTTTAACATAATAGTATAAAACATTCCAGTAATTTATTATTTTGTTCTTTATGTTTGAAATCTGATGTATATTTTACTCCCTGAGCACCTTTCAGTCCAGTCTAGCCACATTTCAGGTGGTTAGTATGAATGTATCCTATTTGATAGCACACGTCTAAAGCTTTAGAGAACAGTTACTTTGTCTACTGTTTGAGCACATGTTGTGTGTTGTCTGATTCCAGTGCATAGCTACCATGTAGGACAGAACGATCTCAGGATTTTTTGAGCGGAAATCTTAACAGGAGCAGATTGCGGGTCTTTTTTCTTCCAAGGAACAGTTGAGAGGTTTGAACTGACAGCAGGGCAGTTTGCCACCGTATGCTTAACCATTTTTCCATCAGGGTTCCTTGCTGATTTGCACATGTTGTTGTTAGATGCTTTTGAGTCAATTTCAGCTCAAGAACAATAGGACTGAACCTTGCCCTATCCTGCATAGCGCTATCATCATGCTGACAAAAGTGGAGAGGGTCAGTGAAAAACAGGTTATCTTCACTGAAATGGATTGTCACAGTGACTACAACAGTGGGCTGGAGCATGAGGGTGATTGTGGTGATGGTACATGTTAGATGCTAATTAAATAATTAGTTGAATGGATACTTGGTGAAATGCAAGGTCTAGAGAAGTAATAATAAAGGATAATAGTGCTTGTGCAGTAATTCTTGTTGGAATCTATGTATTTGATATACAATGTTGAGTGACTTACTCTCTTTTAAAGGTATTTATTTTTGTCTTTGTAGCAATATGGATCCAAATCTTCTGAGAGAAAGAGAGCTGTTCAAAAAACGAGCTCTTTCTACTCCAGTTGTCGAAAAACGCGCAGTATCTTCCGAGTCATCATCATTATCAAAGAAGAAGAAAGCAAAGCTAGAGCATGGAGGATCCTCAGGTTCCAAACAAAATTCTGGTCAGTAAATTGACTTCTTAGGACTGTTTCCTTTTTTGTTTTTAAAAAACCAGTTTAGTCATGACAAGTTCATTACCAGGTTCAGCATTCATTTGATTGTTAGAGTGTAAAGGATGAAAAGATTAGAGCATTTTTACTCTTAAGATACTCATAGTCTTGTAGTTAAAAATGTAGATGATTAATAAATAAAAAGTAGATGATTATCTCCCCCCCCTTTGGTACAATTTATATACCAGATATTTCTCCAGTTTTAGAGGCACATGGAAATAATTTAATAAATTTGCAGAATTGCAAACTATTACTACAATGCAGATTTAGAATATTTTGTCACCACCAAAGAAGCCCCAGTGCTCATTTGCAGTTACGCTTCATTTCTACACCAGCCAAGGCAACACTATGTAAAAAGAACTGCCTTCTACCTATATAGATAGTCATCTTCTGGCTGTTTGAAATAAATGGAAGAGTCTGACTTCTTTCTCACCTAATACATAGGTTTTTAAAGTTTTGTTACATGGGTACTTTGTTAACTTAGTTTACATACTGTAAAAGTCTTCCATTTTAAGTTTTCAAGTCAGTATAATAAATTTATGGAGTTGCTCAACCATTACCTCAATCCAATATTAGCACATTTCTGCGACTCCGGAAAGATCCCTTGTGTCATTTGCTTTCCACTCCAGACCTAGACCACCACAAGTCTCTGTCTTTATGGATTTGTTTTTGTATTCATATCCTTGCCTTCTATACCATCATCTCCTCTAGCCTTATTGCAGATATTATGGATTTGATTTTAGACCACCAGAGTAAAGCAAGCCATACACATTTTTTTTGGTTTTTCTGTATATGTAAAAATTATGCTTACATTATACTGTAGTCTGCTAGAGGAACTCTGGTTGTATGGTAAGTTAAATGTTAGGCTGTCATCCTGAATGGTTGTGTTTTGAACTTGCTGCTATTCACAGGGAGAAGGATGAGTCCTACTCTGCCTGTTAAGATTCATTTGGAAACCTTAGTTGGAATCAGTTTTTCTGGTAGAAGCTTTAAAAATCTGTTTTAGGAGCTTCTAGTGACATTGTGGGTTAGGCTTTGGATTACTAACTGAAAGGTTGGTGATTTGTATACACCATCTGCTGTGAGGGGAGGAAATGTGATATTTTGTCTCCTCCAATTCCATTAAGAATGTATAGCCTCAGGGAGCTCTGGCAGCTTAGTGGCAAGAAGCTGCACTGTAATCCCAGGGTAAGCAGTTTGAATCCTACAGGTGCTCAGCTGGAGAAGGAGGGGCAATCTTCTCTTCTCCTGTGCCAGTCAGATCCGATTTGATGGTACACACACAAAATAATAAAGTAAAAATTAAAAAAAAAAGTACAGCCCCCAAATTTTGATGGGGAAGTTCTTTCTGGCCTATAGAGTCACTCTGAGTCACAGTTGGCTTGGTGGTGTGCTTTATAGTGGGTAGTCTATTAAGTATACAATGTAGCATTATGAAAAAGTTTGTAAATTACTAAAATATATGGACTTATAGGCATGAAATGAGCATGTGTGTTTTGAAAAATGGCACCAGTAGACTTAATACAGGGTTGCTACAACAAACCTTTAGTTTGTGATTTGGGCAGTGGCGGGAGGGGAAGGTAATTTCTACAAAGCATAAGATGAATGAAGCACAGTGAAACAAAAGATGCTGTGTTCTGTTTGACTCTCATTAGGTGCTCTCTCGAGTTGGCTCTTATTCATAATAATGACCATGTACTCTAAAACAAAGCAGTGTGCAGCCCTGTGCCATCTGTTCAATCCCAGCTCTTCTTAAGCCCATTATTGCAGTCACTCATTAAAGGTGTTTCTCTGTTTGCTGATCCTCCACTTTGCCAAGAATGATGATGTCCTTTTCCTAAGACTGACTCCTCCTGATAAGATGCACTAGTATGTGAGTCGACACTTCATCATCCTTACCTCTAAGGAGCGCTCTGGTTGTACTTTCTCCAAAACTTCTCTTTGTTGTTTTGGCAGTCTATGGGATATTCAATACTCTTATCCAATACCACATCTGTTGTTCTTCTGTCATCCTTATTCATTATCTGGTGCAAAGTCTCACTACCCTAGGAAACACTCTGGTTGTACTTCTTCTAGAGACTGATTTGTTTATTCTTCAGGCAGTTCATGATATATTCATTAAGAATACATACTTTTCTAAGACTAAAAAGTACAAATTTCCATTTTCACCATTCTTGCCTCTAAGGAACAATCCAGCTTTTTTTTTTTTTTTTTTTTTTTTTTTTTTTTTTTTGTCTTTTGGTAGTCTGTGTTGTGTTTCATATTCTTACTTAACTACATAATTCAAAGGTCTCAATTCTTATTTTGTCTTCTGTCTCCATATATTTATTTATAAACATTTCATACAGATGAATCATATAATATGTGATCTTTGATTTTAATATGGCTTCTTTGACTTACTATACTTTGAGTTTCATCCTCATATCCTACTTTGTTCTGTTTTATTGTGGAGAATATTTTGTTATAAGAACATACCACAGTTTGATGATTTACTAGTTAATGGACACTCAACTTGAATTGTTTATACTTTATTGACTGTTATGAATAGTGCTGCTGTGAACATTCATGCTTAAGTTCTCTGGTCATGCCTTTTAATTTCTTTTGGGTAGATCCAGCGTTCAGTTGCTGGATCACATAGTAAACTTATATTTAATCTTTTAACAAACTATATACTGATTGTGTCATTTACATTCTCAGCAGCAGTGATTGAGGGTTCTGATTTCTCTACATATTTGTCAACTCTTAATATTCTCTGCTTTTTTATTTAAGCCATTCTGGTGGGAGTAGAGTGGTTTCATTGTGATTCTGAGGTATACTTCTGTAATTTGTAATAATGTTGAACACAGTTTCATGAATTTATTGACCATTTTTGTATTTTTCATTAATTATCTGTTCAGATCTTTTGACTGTTGTGAGGGTTAATGGGCTATTGTCTTACTTATCTGTAAGAGTTCTTTATTAATTCTGGGTACAGTTCTTTGATAAGATGAACGATTTGCAAATATTTTCTCCAAATCTGTAACCTGTTTTTATTTTCTTAATTATATATATTTTTTAAATTCTTTTATGTGAATGGTGCAGCAGTTTACAAATTATGTTACTTTCATTACAAACATTGATAGATACTTTGTTTTGCAACATTATGTCAGAAGAGTACTGCTGGCTGAATCTGATTTCCATGTTGACCATCTGAATATCTTCTTCCTAGCATACTTTGGACATATTGTGAGGAGAGACAGGTCCTTGGAGAAGGACAGCGCAGGAGAGGAAGGCCCTCTATGAGGTGGATTGATTCAGTGACTGGGATAATTGGGATGGGAGTGTCAGAGACAGTGCGATTGGCACAGGACAGAGCAGAGTTTAGGGCTATTGTACATAGGGTCGCTATGAGTCGCAAGCGACTCGACAGCACATAACAACAACAACAATTTTGTAATTGGTCTTAATTGTGTTTTTTGATATGCAAACCTTTTTAGGTGTATTAAATTTTTTAAACTGTGATTTTAGTGAAAGTTTTAAAAAGAGAGTGGTTTTCACTCATTTATTCTTACACATTTTCCTCCCTCTCCCTCCCCATAAAGGACTTTGTAATGCTTGTCCTGCTCTTCTTTATTGTCATAGTTTTAATCACCCTAACACAGTGTATGAGAGTACCAATCTCTCCACATCCTCACCAGCATTTGTTGTTTGCTGCCCTACATCAAAAAATGTCTTCAGGCGAGCTTTGGTGGCCTAAGGGCAAGAAGCTGGACTGCAATCCAAGAGGTGCACGGTTCAAATCCATCAGATGCTCTGCTGGAGAAGGAGGAACAATCTCCTCCAGTACCAGTCAGATCTGATTTGACGGTACACACAAAAAAACAATAAAATAAATTTAAAAAAAAAGTCTTCAATTCTGTAAAAAGGAAGCCTACAGACTGGGGGGAAAATTTTAAAGTGACCTATCTGAAAAGGGGCTCATATCTAAAACTTTAGAATACTCCAGCATAAACAAGAAAAGGATGAACAACCCAATCACAAAATGGGCAAAAGAGCTGAATAGACGCTTCACCAAGGAAGAAAGTCAAATGACCAACAAATACATGAATAAAAGCTCAAAATTACTAGCTTTTGGAGAGGTCCAAATCAAAACAATGAGCTATCATCTCTCCCTAGCAACAATAGCAAAATTCAAACATGTTTAGTTTAGATGAAGTCCAACTTGCTAGTTTTTTCCTTAAATCACTATGTTCTTAGTGTCACTTCTAAGAAATCTTTGTCTAACCCGAAGTCATAGGAAATGAACTCCTAAGTTTTTTTATAGCAGTGTTATAGTTTTAGCTCTTATAATTAAACTTATGACAAGAGTTTATTTTTAAAAATTGTTTTTATTCTTGGGAATGGACACCACTTCAGCATTGTTGTCATGTGCAGTTCAGCAACTTTATGGTCTTCATGTTGTGCAGTCATTCTCACTGTCCTTATTGTTCTTTTTCCATTAACATAAACTTCCTACCCCATTAAAAGTGTTGTCTTTTTTAATTACTGTTGTCAGTTTGATATCTCAGATAGCTGGTTCTTTAAAGTGCACAGTACTTAAGGTAGAAGACCGTCCATTAGAAGGATTGATACAGTGACTGCCACAGTGGACTACAGTATGACATTCATCCTGTGGATGATGCAGGATGGTGCAAGGTTCAGGTTACTATCAGTTATAGTTGATTCAGTGTAAAAACAACAATAAACAGTTTTGTCACACTGACCTATATTTCTGTTTTCTTAATTGCTGTAGTACTGCACAAGTAGTGAGGCACTGAAGGAGTAGAAAGATATCAGATGGGTTGAACATGGTAGAGATCATAAAGGTAGCATAGGATAGGACAAAATTTTTATTTAGGGCCAACAATGAGTTGTATTCAACTCTTAGGCACCTAACAATAACATTGTAACATATTATTTTTATACCACCTGAA